TTTTTGTTGTTATTGCCTATGTTCAGCAGCAACTCGGCCACGGCTCATGGGATCTCTACAAAACAAAAAATAAAGAACAGGAGGTCAACAGTGTAATCGCGTGTTTGGACGCAATTTGGGTTTAGGTCAGACGATAAGGTTCGAGAGCATGCCGAAGGAAGCACAAACATATGTACATACATACATATGTACATACATTTGCACACGCTAGCGTAAGGATACATCTGTATATGTAGCAAAACAATAAGTGAACCTATGCACGCGTGTTTGGTGAAATGAAAATAAAATCAACAAAACGTACATACATGCTTGCCTACATTCCATTCCTGAAATGAAAAACACTATTCTGGTGCAGCGGTGAAAGCTAAAAAATATTTTAGAATTGTAGTATTAGGGTTGTTGGCATTTGTTTGGTGCCTTTTTCGATTGACCATGTAAAGTGCCTTCAAGGTCAAAGCGAGTTTCTTTGGTGCAACTGTAGAAGTAATATTGAGCATTTAGAATATTTTTTATTATAACTGAGGATCTGAAATGTCAGAGATATTCTACATAAGCTAGTTATTTAGGTATACCAAATCCTACTAGCTATCTGTTTTCGGACAAAAGTAGTATACAAATTCAAAAAAATTAAACAACCGTAAACAGATTTGAAAAAAAAGTAGTTAATGTAGTTTCGCAGTATCAATTTTATTCAATGAAAATCAACAAAAAAAGAACAAACTGATCATCTTTTGAATCGACTTCGCCTTTCATTTCAATATCTCTATTTGCTGCTGTTGTTTTGTTTTGTCCCTTTAAGCAATTTGGCGCATGATGCAAAAAATAAGTTAGTTCCATTGCCACTTATTCGTCGCCATAATAACTACCTGACAATTAAGCAGTTTGTGACATCGTTCAAACTTTACGACATACGACACTTACACGACATATAGTGAAGCACCTAAATATATGTATGTATATTAAATTCACACCGAAATGTGTATATAACAAACGAGCATCTTCGTTATAGAAAACTGTAATAGTCCTGAGGTTCAATTCCCGTTATGCGCTATCGTGAATCGAAATGAAAGGTTAAAGAAAAGGCACTTATTGCGATGTGAAAGTGTTATTTTTATCACTTCACAATAACGCAGAACGTGACCCTCTGGTCTAGCTAAGTTGTGAAATAATCAAATGACATTCGACAACGAAGGAAGACGCGTTAAAAATATTTGACGGCGCGGTTAACTATGTTTGCGAGTGTAACAGTATGTAAATTCCCTTAGGAGGTTTTGGGGAATGATGTTGGAGTGACAGACCTTCGCCAGGTATAAATCTAGTTTTTCTTAAGCGGCTTTTTCTGTAAAATATTTTTTTATGTTCCTTTTTTTCGCCAAAACAAACCACTAGCGCGCTTTTATTCGTGTTTAGTGACAATATATCGTATACCTAGACCTAAAGTGAGCTAACTCAAAATTCAGATAGGGAAATTTAACTGCTTGTGGATCGTACAGATTCAACGCAATTAATACAAAAACAGGTATAACGGTAGTTTTCTAGTTAATGTATTAATCATTGATGAAAAAATATTTCCATTGGATGTAAGTCCTATGAATTGATTTATGCAAAAAAATCGCCCAACATTTTTTTTATTTTTTTTGAGTTGATCGCACTTTAGATTTAGGTGTGCGATATGCTCACTAAAATTTTACTAATCTAAAAATTGTCTTTGCGAAGTGGTTATCATATGTATTTAATGTAAAATTTAAACATTTTTAAGATAAGATTTTAATTTAAAAGGTAAATGTTAATAAAACTATTTCATACATAATCCCACATATATGAGCAATTGTCAAAAATCTGCTTTTCAATCAAAAAGTTGTTTATTGAAACTACCTTCTTTTTTCTATCATGATTTGGCGAAGTAATTCCGGCATAGTTATAAAGAATAACCTGAAATGTTTTCACTGCTAATCGAGTTTTGTTCGACGTCCAAATTTTGTTAACCATAGAATATATAATTCCACCTATGCAGGAATTAATTGGGAACGAAGGTTTCGCGCAAAACGATTGTAGAGGAGGCATGGAGCAAGGAATGAAAACTAGCTGTATATACCTAAACATTTTCACGGATGGCTCTGTAATGGTAACGGGAGTTGGTGCCGGAGTATACTGCCGGAAACTGAACGCCAAGCGGGCAGAAAGGTTACCGGAACAGCGCAGCACATTTCAAGCGGAGGTTTTCGCTATGAGGATAGCAGCAGAAATGACAATCAACTCAAAGGTACATACAAAATATACAAAAAAACAAAATGGGCGACAAGCGTGAATAACTTTCGTCTCGATGCAATGCAGGAAATTTTTTCTTTTTTTGCAAATAATTACTAACAGAACGTACAACAATATTAACCCAAAACGTGATTTTAAAGCCATTGAAATGGCAGTAATATTAAAAAGAAAATTAAAAACTTTTATAAAAAATAAATTATGGCCATATAAAAAATAAAAAACAAAAATGGGAAGAAAACACCATCATTCTCAACTGTTTAAAATATGTTTAATACCTATCGCGAGAAAACAATTAAAATCTAAACAAATTCGAAAAATCGTAATAGCTATAACTTCCGAAATAATTCGAATCTCGCAAAATTGTGAAACTTGTATATTTCTTTTATCGTTGTGAAGCATATACACATAATTGCACAAAAAAAGCTCGACCCTCGCAAAAATGGTGGCCCACTTCACACATTTTTACTCAGTAGCTATGACCTACGGTTGATTTTTGGTAAATTAATTTAATTTTTTTTTTGTGAAGGATACGCCCATTTTCTTTATATATAAAAATCGTCACGTAAGTCCTAGCACTTTATTATACTACAATTGAATGAGCTACAAAAGTGGATACTCCAAAATCTTTCTAAGAAATCTAATTAATTAATTAATTAATCAACTAAAGTTTCTTAAATTTTTTTTTAAGTAAGTTCAAAAAATTGGATTGGAAATAACTCTTTAATCCAAATACATATTTAAAACGGGTTTATTTTGAGAGGAACCATTAAACAAATTAATCGGTTATTTTGCTTAAATCAATCCGTAGGCTTTATTTCCAATGAATGCACCAATATATTCTCTAGCTAGAAAACTACTGATTTACCTGTTTTCATATTAACTGCGCTGAATTTGTACTATACAAAAGCAGTTAGATTTTCAGATTTGATTTTTGAGTTATGCCTCTTTTGCAGAGGATGTGCGATATGTATTACCTACCCGTAGTTTATTTTCATTAAGCAGAAGCTCAAATCAAAAGCCACCCAAAAATCAATAGCGGCGCTTAATCTCATTTGTACTTTTGTGTATATATAAAACAGCTATCTTTTGCAACTTAACAACATTATTTCATAGGTGACCTGTTTTTAAAGTCTCTATTAACCTTTTTCACAGAATAACTAACAACACAGAGTCAAGCTATTATTAAGGCCATCCACCGCAGCCATGAGACCATACAACAAAAAAGTTGAAAAGCAGGCAAACCATTCATTTCCACTTGAAAATAGGCCACAAGCGTTCTTTAATACACTCACGCCCCTACATATGCATTTGCACATATACATATGTATACATACATATGTACATGTGTGCTATCGAAACCAAAATCACTTACCCTTCCAGACTTTCAAACACATTTAGTATTTACTGCTGCCGATGATGCTCATATAAACTCATTCACACTAACGAACGAATGCGGGAGTCGCCCCCACCACCCACCTAAAAATGTGCGACCGACACGTGCCATCAATTCACACACATTTCACTTCTGACTTTCTCAGCGCACAGCTGTATGTAGTGTGCATTAAGGCGGCCAGCTCAAACGAAGATTAAGCCATTCAACCATTCAAAATTGACGTTAATTAATGAAATGTGAAAATCTTATTTTTAATCCTATGGCGGCCAACCCTGTCATTTATAGATAATTTCCACTAATTTCATTCGTCTATGCTTTCTATTACATACATATATGATGTACATATATATGTACATGTGTATAGGACTCACTCTTCATCCTCGTCGTCGTCCTTATCGCCGGCTGTGTTGTTGTTCTCATAAAAGACATCATCCTCACGGGAATCCTCATCGGAGCTAAAATTCTTTGCATCCTCATCATCATTGTCATTGTCGTTATTGTTGTTGTTATTGTTGTGGTTGGTGATGTCCTTGTTTGCGCGTCGCTTAGCCGCCTCCTCTTCCAAGTACTTGGCTTTCGTGATTATTTCATCACTACAGATCGGTGACGAAAGATAAAGCAGATAAAAATAATTAGTGCAACGACATCACAACAGTACAGGACAGCTTAGAGTCGTCCAGAGGAGGCTAGAGGATAGAATGGTTGGCTAATGGTCACCAACAGCGGGCCGGGCGGTGTATTGGCAGAGGGTGTGGGAGATTAATGGTGTAGGGGACTTTTAGACATCTTCAGGATGGATAAAGGTGAGTTAAAAAGGAGTAATTAAACTTTTTATGCAAGAGCAGCCACTTGTGTGTAACTGAAGTGTAATATAGATTTGGCAAGGGGTTGTAAAAAGTTGGGCGTTCAAGTTGATTTTATAATAGTGAGGTGGCCAATTGGGTTATTAAAAGGATAGCTTGCCGGAGGGTTTGCGGTAAAGTAGGCAGATCTTTTTTAATTGAGTTGTGTGCACGGCTTTACAAATAAATTTATAAATATATGTGTATGTATGTATATACATACATATGTACACATCCACATTAGACTGCATCACCAAAAATAGTGGCGGTTTTTCCGCCGGGACTACAAAATTTATTGTATTTTAAGACGTCCCACCAAAATATTTCGGAAAAATATTAAGATTTAAGCGAACTGGACCAATTTGAAAATACCTCCGAAAATGGAGTTTTTTTATGAATAAAAATAGTTTCATAAATAACTTTTTGTAAAAAGTTCGCTCAGAAGACAAAACAGATTAAAATAAAATAGATTTTATAATTTCAATAGAAAAACAGTACCGATTTTTATTTTTTTTTTGTATTGGGAGTGATGCAGTCTAATCTACATACATACATACGTATGCATCAATTAGGGTGATTGAGTCGGTTTTTCCAAACCGATTTCAAGCACTTTTTTTATTTCTAGGCTGTTTTTTGAAATTTTGATTTTTCGAATGCTGAGTAAATCGGATTTTTTCAATCGAATAAATCTGGGTTTCACCTAGTTTACTTATGTGTCAGAATTTAGTAATTCGAAATATTTTTCCACTGCAGAAAACTGCTAAAAAAATAAAAATAAAATCGAACGTCACTGTTTTTTTTTGTTTTTTTTTTTTGTTTTAGCAGCTTACTCAACTCTGTCTAAGTCCACTATATGCTTTCTTCATTCTCGTCTAAAGACGGGCTCAGGAAAAGGTCTGATCGGACTCCTTCTGAAACCCCTTTCGTTCGGCAAACAAATGATGATACATATTTCTCTTACCTAACTCCCTTAATTTAAAATGAATTTGATTTTTTAAACAGGTGGCAATCTCCTATGGTTAAGATAAGAAATTAAGCTTTGTAAAGCAAGTTCCGATTGACAACTATTTTGTAATAATTGATTTTTTTTATTTAATTTGAATTTTTTAAAAGGTGGCAACTCTTTTCAAAAAAGTAAACCTTATTATTGACACCTTTTATTTGACACCTCACTTTGGACAATCGACCGAACGGTGCAGTTATAATGGTACTGATTATTAAATGATTGGAATTTAATTGTTCAAAAGGTGGCAACTCTTCTTGAAAAAATAACGCTTTTATTTGAGATACCTTTATTGACAATCGAGCGAACAGTGCAGACCTTATGTCCTGGACAAACAATTTCTTCGCGTATTAAGACAAACTTATCGATATTTCTTGCTCAAAATAATAAATACCGAATGCTTAGCTTCAATGTTTTTGTTTTTATTTAAAAAATAATGCTTAGTACGGTATGAGTTAATTTTTCACGTACAAAAACTAAAAGTAAAGCATTTTTTCAGCGATAGTTTAGAAAAAAAAAATCGGTTCAAAAACCGATGGATTACAGAATTTTTCAATAAATTAAAATTAAGAATAACATTGTGGTTGTACACACTTGGCTGGTAAACTGAATAAAAAAAAAAATAACCGCATAAATTACGCATGTATATCCATGTAAGTAAATGCGATTTTACCGTTACACCTTCTGTATTTGTTCTTTGTAATTTTGTGTATTTATTTTTACTTAATTTTCGTACTAAATAAACTCACCGATTCTTGTGTAAGTCACGCTTCGAAACGCACACTGCGCTGTACTCATCCTCCAACAGGCAAATTTCACGTTTTTTGCAATTTAACGGCCGACAAAGGTCACCTGGCGGTAAAGAGAGAGAGTTACAGAAAAAGTAATTAATAAGTAAATAATAGTCTCAGGGATTAAGCAATTATGTTTTAATTACATTTAAGCACACTTAGGCTAAATGCATAGAAGCACATCCCATACGCCTAGACATTCTCGTACACATGCAAATACATTCATACAAACAAAGTAAGTTGCATCCAAATGGAGTTTAATCAAGGAAACGAGCATTTTTTATTGCAGTCTGTCTGTCTTCTCTTTTCGACAATTACAAACTTTTTTTAACTTACCTTTTACGTGACTCACTACAAATAACTTTAGTAATTTAATTTTTTTGTCTCAAACAAATGAATCCTTTTTTTCAACGCTGCCAAGCGCCTTTAACGGTGCGCTCTTTTTTTTATGTACCGTACGTTACGTATGTATGTATGTACTTAGTTTTACACAATAGGCAGCCTCTCGACTGCACACAATTTCATAGATACATATGGAAATATATACATATTTACACAAACAAAGTCATTGATGAAACAGTAAACGCAACAACAGGTACACGCAACAATTTCTCCACGATTTTGCCCTGCACGCCAACGCCAACCAGTAAAAAATGCTGTAGTGCCATTATTGCGCGAATGGTTTTGAACTTTATTGTACGGAAAATGAAATTGCAAATGTGTGTACATGTGCATATACATATGTACATATGTATTTCAGTTGATATTGGGGACACAAAAAAATTCGTTAGATATGTACAATATCTGATGGCGTGGCGTTAGTCAAATGGTGGCACACCCTGCAACTATCAGCATCGAAATGAAAGCTAAATGCACTTGAAAAAATAGTATAGCCAGGATTGCATTAACTCAATCTGCGTTTATAGTAACGTAGATCGGGAATGATTAATCTATTTATGTTCATCGCGACCCAAATATTTTAGTACGAACTTTAGAAAAAAATATGTTTGTGTGTGTAGTTTTGTTGAGGTGCTTGCTTTCAAAATCCACTACTACTAATTGACAACCAAGCAAAAATATGCGTGACTCCACAAAGTCGACTGGACCAAACACTGAAAAAAAATATATATATTTGTCGGTCTTCATAAAAATATATGTCAGCCAATTGAAATAAATACATATGACCTCCAAGCCCGTAAAACTCTTTAAGGCGAGAAAAAGTATCTCAAACCTCACTTGGTGCATTGGCAATATATGTTCAATAGCTGTCTTTCTTATACTATCATAAACTGATGGAAATCACTGGATAAGCTGCTCACTAATTATAAATTCACTAACGCTCAAAGGACGGGCTAGTGACAAATCACGGCAGCGTTATCCTCCACGCCTAGAAAAAGTACTTGAAACCTCGCTAAATTTTGTTTCTTTTTGTTTAACTTAAGGTGAGTTAAATTGATTTAGAACTAAGAGAATTACGCTGCACCGATAATCTCAAGTTTCGAAACTATACAAAAAACACCGTCGTAGATTATGGACATGTTTACCGTTTCTCCAGATTAGGCCATTTTCTCAAGATATTTATAAGAAAGAAATTCAAACTCTAACAAAGAAAAGATCAAAACAAAAGTCTTTTGTAATTTTTCGGATTTTTATTAAAGCCTGTTCTTTTGCTACTAACGACAAAAATCGATGGTGAATGGTCAATTTAAAATGTGCAATAATTTTTTGTATGAAATAGGAGCAGGAATTAATATTACTCATACGCCATGGCCATACGTACATGGCCGTATTCATGCATACTAGGGATGTTTCGAATGTCATATTTGTGAATCGGAATGCGAATGCGATTGTTAAGAATGACATAAACATTTCTGTGCTAGAATTACAATTCTTGATAAATAATAAATAATAAAAAATTTACAAATTATACATTTTTTTATTTATCACAAGTACAGATAATCGGGCTGTTAGAGCCACTTCAACAATGTTAGAGTGGACTCTCTGCCCATGTACACATTGGCATTCGCAAAACATTCGTATCATTTGATGCGAATGCGAATGTCGAATGCGAATACGTAAGATGATGCGAATCATTCACTTAACGAATGCGAATGCAAATGTTCGCCACATCCCTGATACATATTGGTAATGGTTTATGATAAAAATTTCTCATGTTAAAATTTAAATTTTTTTGTCATTTGGAATGCAAGCCTGAAATGAAGATATCTTGAGAAAATTATCCGATCTTGGAAAAAAAGTGTATATACACACATAGTTCCATTATCTACGACCCAAAATTAAGTTTACGTGTCCCTACAGTGCACTATGGTCTGGCGACTACTATTTGCTGGCCAAAAGCTGAGAAGTAACCAAATTGATTTGGTGTCTTTGGGGGTTTTGGAAGTCGCTGATTTAGAATCCGATATTAGATTTTTGAAATTGAAAATGGGGGAACCCAATATGACTACTAAATTGTATAATTTTTTCCTTTTCACCAAAAACTCATATAAATGGCAGACTATACTACACCGTCTCCCACCGTCGTTTAAAGTACTAAACCACGTATCGTCATTCTGCAAAACCGCGTAACTGACATTTGCCGCCAAAAATTGGATATGCTCACACAGGCTCTTGGCTCAATCCTTATTCATTCGTCCTGAAATATACTAGCCAGAAATGCAATTGCTTTATAAAAAAGAGTGCCATTTTGAAATAAGAGTAATTTTAATCTCTAGAAAATAATTTATAATTTTAATTTGTACTTTAAACGACGATATGATTCTAAACTAAACCTAACAGTGACAACATCCGATGAGGCGGCCCTTGGAGTAATCGAGATGAAAATTTTACGTAAGATTTTGACAATAGCAAATATCGCAGACGACTTAACTATGAGCTGTAGGAGCTTTATAACGATATAGACATAGTGCAGCGAATTAAAATCCGGCGGCTACGCTGGATAGGTAATGCCGCTCAAATGGACAGCAACGCTACAGCTCTGAAAGTATTCAACGCGGCACAGTGGTTCGGATAGCAGATCTAGCTGGACGAAAGTCAAAATTTTTTTTGTTTTTAAAATACTTAATGGTACTTGGAATACATTCCTGACAATACATTCAAATAGAAATTGCATTTATTAAAGACATTAACATATGAAAACAAACAAAAAAAGGTAAGTCAACGCCGCCTATTTGAGAACTCTATTTTAAAAGCTAAAATTTAACTTAAAAGATTGCTAATTGCACTCACAGATATTTGCATAATTGCAAATTGACTTTATAAACAAAAAAATTAGATTAATTTCGCTATAGATTCAGAGCAAATTTATTCTGAAAAATCGTCGTTTTGATTAATTAAAAAAATAAATTAAAGAGTAGGAAAAGTAAAGGCCGCCGAAGGCCGTTATAAAACCACTTGCATATTATTCTTTACATCTTCGCAAATGCAGAGGGTAAGTTCGACAACCAAGTCTAACCAATTGGCTTAGATATTTACATTTTAGTGACGGTATGTCAAATCTCAAAATTCAAAAGTAATTATTAACAGGAATGTATCTGAATATAAATATAAGATCAGTGGTGGATCCACGGGAGAGAGGGGGGTAGGGGTTGTATGTTAAAACAGAAAAATACTTGGAGTTATAAAAACTTTGGTTATGTTAGAGTTAAAAAAAAAAATAGTAACTCGCGAATTTTCTCCTTTCTGAAATTAAAAAATTACACAACAGGCATGCAAATCTTTAAGCGCTGTTATACAATTTTTTCTGAAATTTATTTGTGTTTCTTGCTGTGATCTTAAATTTCATGGTAAATAAAATCTTAAGAAGTGAGTTGTTTGACATTTGGAGAAGTGTTGCTGAAACTTCTAAAAGACAACAAGGTTTCCGTGATTATGTGATTAGTAAATTGAAAGAAATATCTGATGAAAATGCTCGTTTCGAAGTAAATAAAGTAAATTAAGTAAATGACTTTAGATTCGTAATCAGCAACCCAGAAAACCCCCAGAAACCCAGTTACATAGAAATCTACCGATTTTTTTTTAATTTTCGTCCGCCATATTGGATCCGGCATTTTGAATTTTTGGTAAATGACTTTAGATATGTAATCAGCGACCCAGAAAACCCCCAGATACCCAGTTTCACAGAAATCTACCGATTTTTTTTTTTTTTTCGTCCGCCATATTGGATCCGGCATTTTGAATTTTTGATAAGTGACTTCAGATTCGTAAGGTAAGAAGTGGTGTAAAGATCCATCAACGAGTATTTGTTTAAATAGTTTCGTCCAGCTAGATTTGTGATCCGAACCACAGTGCGCGGATGCCGATGCTTTTAACAGAGAGAAAGAGGGAGGCATCCTCTGCATTGGAAACACCAGGTGGAGCAGGACTTGGATTCACTTGGATTTTGCAATTGGCGTCAGTTGGCATAGAAGAGAAAGGACTGGCATGCTTTTTTAGACTCGGCCAAAGTCGCTTTAGAGGTTACAGGTTGCTTTTGAAAAAAAAAAAACTAAGAATAATTTCTAGCAAATCCTAGTTTTGCAACTTTCACGTTAACTACCCGTTTCGTTAAATGAATGAAAATTAACGCACAGTCGAACTGGCAAATCATCAGTAAAAAAATGCCAACTTTCATTGTGTCTTTAAAAACTCATGAAATATTTACACTATAGTACTATCTCACTCCGTTGCTCGCGTTAATTTAATTAAAATAATATATTCAAGTAAACATCGTTTAAACAACACTCTTTAATATTTTTTTAATCCGCCATATCTTTTTACGTACATATCACATACGCGCTCACACACACAGCACAGAGGATGTGCATTTTTCAAGCTCATCTTCCTCTCCGACACTTAATATGTTGGGAATGAAATAAAAGCGCGTGCAATAAATCGCGGTCACCTGCTGGCTTTATGGCTGCGTTTGTGCGCGCATAAAAAACATACATATATGATTACTGCAGCCAAAAACAAAGCACAACACATACACTCGCCACCCTGCAGCAAAGCTAACTTATTCTGAACTCGCGCCGAGCTAGCTTGAACCGAGACGATACTGGTTCTTCATTTCTCTCAAATCAAATATTTATATTGTCATTTTTATGTTAGCGAAGTCCTAGCAGGTCACAGTTGATCTCCTCTGTAGAATTTTTGAACTCGTTCTGAACTGTATACCGCTGGGACAGATTTGGGATAAAAATTTTTCTATGAGAAAAAACCCATTCCGATGGCTGAGTGGAAGATGGACCTATCTCGCCAACCAGTTCGATAACGACCAATTTCAGAAAACTTTTCTAGAATGCCCTACTTCAGAATTTGAAAGCCCTATTCAGAAGTTTACAGAAATTTTATCTCAAATGAAAATACATTAAAAATGTGCTGAGATGGGGCGTTTAGGAATCGGCAGTTGAGATAGGGCATTTTTTAACCAAATTCTTAGATAGGGCGTTTTTCAATCAAATTCTAAAATAGAGCGTTTGTTGAAAAATTTTCTAAGATGGGGCGTTTCGATAGGTTGAACTTCCACTCAGCCATCGATATGCAACCTTGACAGCCCGCGTAGCCTAACTGACATTTCACACAAAATTGAAGCACAGCTTAAAATAATAGCCCGTAGTAGTGTGGAACTAATGCTTTGCCAGAATGTTTTTAAATTTTGCTGCAGGGTAGTAAACATACAGATTTATATAACCTTTTTATACACATGTGCACATTTTTATGACTTAAAAAATATATAAATACATATACGTTTGGTACATACATACATATGTATGTTTGTATACTCACTTGTGGGATCGTGGATCCAGCGCTTGCGTTCGCCGTTGATGCTCTTCGATTGTACTTGCGAGTTTTTATTTATCTGTAAGAAACAGGCAAAAAGGAGGAAAATTAAAACGTATGTAAGGTGCATACATACATATGTACGTAATGATAAAATTTCAATTACACATGTGTACTCGAGTGATTTAACGCACGCGAGCAAAGAAAAACCTTAATGATAAAAATATGGTTAAAAATGTAAAACGTCGATAAATTTGTGGTACCTTGATCTTAAATTAAATATGGCGAAAAGCTTGATTACATTCTCAATGGCAGCTGAGTTATTATAGATATTGAAATGATGCTAAAAATGGTAAGAAGTTCTAAGAATCTCCCCTCTCTACCATAATTCTAGGTGCCGCATGCTGCGTTAAATTTTCCCATAGAATTAACGCGTTAGAAAATAAGATCTGCTATTTTGAGGTCATCCCCATCTTCATCTTCATCTTCATCTTCATCTTCATCTTCATCTTCATCT